GGGGTATAACTGGATTAAGCGAAAAGGGCACCTCAAATAAGCATTTAGTAATTCTTCAAATTTGATTTGTTTTGCTTACTGCCATAGTTATTAATATGAAGCTCTTCTCGGGAGTTCCTTTGACTTTTATTTATTTATTTATTTAATTATTAAGCAATGCGTTGTATAAAACGACGTCAGAAACGACTCACCAAATACAATGCCAACAACACTAGAGACTGAACTAATAACAGCAGCTCGATTAGAAATGGAAACATGGTACCAGCTATGCCTTCTCTTACAGTTTTGTATGAGTTTCGCTGTTGAGCGTTTACAGGACGCTGAAAGCCTGAGAAGCAATTGAAATTACTATGAATATAAGATATGAAAGACCTGCCATACAGTGAAAAAAGTAGGCCTGGTGGTGGTTTTATGTCTGGGGAGAGATAATTTGAGCTGGCCGCCCCTGGTGATAGATGGAATAATGCTGTAAAACTGAGAAATTTTAACCGCGGATCTATTGATGAGGAGGTTATGGATCATAGATGAGTCAAAGAAAGTTTGTTCGGACTGAAGGGAAGGAAGAACATAATACTTGTTCCTCATTTCGGCCTTTGGTATTCTACAGAAAGCCATCGCGACGAATCAGGATTTTTCGGGTGAAATTATTTTGGACTTCCTCGATTGAAGCGATGTATTTCTTTTTATGCGGGCAGAGTACCACGGTCCCATTCTCCACTAATGGACGGATGTAAGTTTTGTAAACCGGGATAAGTGTTCTAGTGTCCCTGGTTGTCAGAGCATTGAAAATATGATAGTTTCGATAGTACGCCTTTTTGCAAATTAGGTTACAATGTGATGAGAAGTCAAGCTCATCGTTGTATAGGAATCCGAGAATCTTGACTTCATTTACCTTATAAATTTCCTTAGTATCCATGAAGTAAGCGGTTTTTTCCAGGAGAACCCAAGTGGTATAGGACAGAGGAATTTGCCAATATGTGGACAACTGTACGAGACCGTTGACGCAGGACTGCAGGGGACGCGTATCCAGAGGAGAGCCAATAACTTTGTAAAATTTCAATTCATCAGCATACTGTTTATACACAGCATAGTACTGAGAGCAAATCATGGGCAGGTCCGCAGAATATACATATATTGAAAAGTATGGAGGATAAGACCTCCTTGAGGATCCCCGCTCTTTGCATAAAGGACTTCCGGAAAAGGAGTTGTTTATGCGAATCTGATAACTACTCTTGCTGAAATATCCCTAATCCTCTCTTTGTACACTTTATCATGGAATCCAAGCTTACGAAGTAGATCAGCTTTTTATGTCCGACTTTATCAAAAGCTTTTGTAAAGGCAAAGTAGATTACATCAAAACTCCTCTTATTATCTAGAGCTTCTGTCCAGTCACTAAGTGATTCAGCATATTCGCAACTACAGACCTTCCTGTTACAAAACTATGTTGTGAGTCAGGATTCAATTTGTTCTCTGCAAGATCGTCGATAGTATACATTATAGCAGCTTCTCAAACATCCTACAGAAGAAAATGGATGCAATGCTGAAGGGCCTATAATCAGAATCGTCAGATGAGGGCGCTCTCTTTAAAATGGGCGTGTATATGCGTGTTTTCACAATCTAGGAACTTGAGGAACCATCATGGACTGAATAAATAAATAGACCAAGGGGAAGCTATAGCTTGAGCTATACTCTTAATGAACTCGATCGGCACATGGTCAGTAGGTAATGAACAATGAACAGGACATCTTTCTCAGGAGCTAATAGAAAGAAGGAAGTGCATGGAAGTGAGGAAAAGTCAGCATCTATCTTGAAATGTAAGGCGAGAATGGAGGAAGATCGTTGTCGCCGTCTAGGAACACTTTGCGAAACTCAGCCGCCAATTCTTTAGCCTGTTTAATATCGTTCACTAAGAATCTACTTTGCAATTTCAAATCCGTGAACAAAGATTTGCTTTTGAGTTTCGATAAACTTGAAAAAGCGATGCTCACTATTGGATTCTATGATATTCTTTTCAATACTGCTGTTGAATTTGATGTGCTTGTTTGAAAATTTGTCTGAAAAAGCTATGTACTCGGTCCAATCATCGCTCCGTTTGGCATACTGGAAGAGGCAATCCTTGTGGTCCATCATGTTTTGTAGATGGAATGGGAGGGTGGGGAGTTGTAACCACAAGGAAGAAAAATATCTATAGCGTGCTTGAGTATAGAGAGGAACATTGTATTGTGTACTTTCCATCAACTGTGGTTACCGTCTCACAAGAAGAAATCCATTGATACTGAACAGGTAACTACGAATGATAGAGTAATTGAAACTGACTAAAAATCTTTTGAAAACCGGAGTGCAGGGAACAGTACGTCCAGTGATACTAAAGGTGACACAGAAATGACCACTATGACCGATTGGTGACTTGACTGAAACACTACTTGCGAGATCCTGATCATTTGAAAACAAAAGGTCAAGCAAATTGTTACCCCTAGTGGGCTGACCAATGTATTGTTTGGAGATGCGAAAGTATCAAAAAGTGGATGAGAGATGTCTCTGCAGTTATTTCATTGCACCCAATGGATTGCTGGAGTTTTGAAATTTCCCATTACGAAGACCGGCATTGTTACCGCGGCTATATCGCTGACTGCTTCTCCTAATTGCTCGTTCAAAGAAGGACATGACGAAGGACATGACCAATCAGGACATACACATATTAGCTCAGTTCTGAAGCAAGGGTCGGGGAGAGCGATATCGGCGGCTAAAAGTTCATAACCAACGGGAGCATCATCTGAGAGTATGGTTGAATAATTTAAGGTTTTTCTTATGAACATAGCAACTCCCCTTCCGATCCTCCGCCTCCCACACAACGGATAGCACCATATTCTTCAATCCATTTAATAGGCATAGCCGGTAGCAAGTAGTGGCTTTTCATCCAAGTTTCAGTAAAGAAGTATAAATCATAGCTCTCAGCTGCCTCAACATTAAGAAATACACAATTCTCAGGAAAAGAGCGAATACTGGTGTATAAGGCAGAAACGGTAGAAAAGAAAAACCAGATGGATTCTTAATCACTTCCAAAGCACACCATCCTATTCAGTTTTTTTCCTTGGGAATTGTTCAAAAACGGCTTTGTAGGCTACAAAAACTCGTTCGTCGTTGTGCTGGTCTCGATTAAGTTCGCGGGCACGATTCCGAAGATCACGATCGATCGCTCTTTGCTCGGGAGTCATCGGTTTTCTTGCGAACACGCTAGGAAATTCTGGCGAAGAGCGCGACTGTAAATAGAAAGAGTTTGAAACACAAATTTCCTCGAAGTACAGACACATTTGATCAGTCCGGGTTTTTGGCCAACTTTGCCTATTCGGAACACCTCAATTGCCAGAGTTTCGATGTCAATTACGTCGAGAATCTCGGAAACACACCTTTCTGTAAATTGCTGTCGAAGTGATGCGGATAAGCCAGCGTCGGGTTCCGGGACACCATGAATCACGATGGAACGCTCTCGCTTCTCGGTATGAACTGCATTCAGGGAAAGAAAAGATAGCTGTGTGAGCAGTCGATCTAAGAAAGGAAGTGCTTCTGGGGCTTTAACAGCTAGAATATGCTGAATATTGCTCAGCAGCTTAGCGGCACCATCGTCGAGGACTGCATTCGAATGAATATCCACCAGAATAGGGGACATTGGCTTCCTCTTTTTGGGCACATTGCGTAGAGGGTTAGCGGGTTGAAGAGTCGAAAAGACTGCGATTACGGACCGACCGCTCTCTGTGATCGCACACGCAGGAACTGACCTCTGAACTGGCTTGTCTCAGTTCTTCCTTCAAGGAAAGCACCATAGTTAACCAATGAGAGTCAAGCAAGACCGCTGTAGCAGATGCGCACCCTTCAGTATAATAAAAGTGGAATCCAGGAGATTTCATCCTTTCCCTTGCAAGTTCTAAACTCTTAAAAGATATCAGCCCAGATTAATTCCCTTTCAGATAACGCCATTTGTGCCATACCCAAGAATGTAGTAGCGTTGAGGTGAATGCACATTTGGCACAAGGGATTATTTGGGCCAAACAGTATATTTTCTTTACAACATTGGAACAAATTCATGTACCTTGGAAGCTTGGCTGGTTCAGTCTGGTACTGATGCAGGGTTCGATTGCTAGGTCTTTCAACCTACGAATCAAAAACAAGCCCCGTATCAAAGAATTACCAAGTCAGCCAGTTCCTTTTAACCTTCCGATCCTTGTTAAATTAAGGAATAGCTGCTAACAAATTACTTGAGTCTTAACTCTTCGGCGTTAATCGATCCAGTCTTCAGGATGGGCCCCACATTCGACTCAGATTCAGAATCGCAGTGACTACTTGAATGCCCAATGGCCCTCACGTGTGACTTGTGGTGGCCAGCCGATGTGTACTTCAATACTTTTATCTTACCACACGAGTTTCGTACCAATTAAAAGATCCCAGAGGTATGGAAGACTTGGTTGACCAAAGCCATATCGATCCAGGGCCCGATCCCGGGACTATGCGTGTGATGGATAGTACGCCACTTGTCACTACACCACCGACAAATTTTACGACTTATTACTACCTGCAATCTTCAAAAAACCCAAAATCACAAAATCAGCAGAGCATTTCCGAATTAACAACAAAACGACAGCCAACAACAACTCAACAATTTGAGAACATAAACGTTTAGAAAACAAATAAACCAATTTTGGCCGTCCAAGTATAGGGATTACAAAATTTTCTATCATGATGAACCCTGCTTTTTTCGCTTTGGTTGCTCTTTTGAAATTATCGTCGGTTCTCTTTTTTTTTGCTTTTTTTTTTTACTAAATCTCATTCTCAAAGGGCTTGGCTACCATTCATTTATGCATGATCTCATCATAGATTGTACCAGCTTTTGAGTTGTGAGGATCACATCCAAATTTTCACTTTCGATACAAGAATTCTAAACTCTTGTACACAATTTCTCGTGTCAGGTTGAAGAAAAGGTACGAGGGTGTGAGGTTGCCTTGCAAGCTTAAGAAAAAGGGACAAGCCTGAATCATTCGCGGAAGAATTTAGACAGTAGGCAAGGATCAGGGGTCAGGTTCACAGCACGGTTAAGTCTCAGTGTTCTGTGTTTCGCTTGAAAACTGCTTCAAGTATGAACTTGTTCAACCATAAAGGGATCAAGGGTAGGGCTCACAGAAAAGTGAAGAGTCACAGTGATGGACCAGATCTGCTCATGAGAAGACTTCTCATACAAAAAACTGCATGCACGTTTAGAGTCCTGATTCGAACTATTTGGGAAACGGCCATTAGGAACGGTTTCGTGTAATCGATCCGCCCCACGTGTTGTCGCGGACCATCTGCCTCGTTATAACAATTCCAGCGTTCTTCATACAGCTCAATCGCTATGCGATTATTACTTTTAGCATGATTCCTTGTGTTAGTTATTTTGCGGCGTCTCTCTCGCTGCGACAATTTCGTTTCTACCGCACCACACCTAACTTCTTTGACCAAGGTCGTGCGCTCTCCGGTAGCCCTCGCAAACTGTCCATAGGACTCGGGCAGCGGGCCTGTGCGCCACTTCCGAGTGACGTTCTAGCTTCGTCACTCGTCTGGTTACTTTTTAGACTTTTGACATGGTTTTTGTGACTTGATTTCTCCATCACCAAACCTGTCAACAGGAGCCTGACGCTGGAACCATTACCGTTTCTGCAATTTTTGCTTTGCAAGGCATGGATTTCGCCACGGCAGGGATCAAATTCGCACTCTTTCTAAGTGCAGACATGAGTCTACCCTCTTATCCACTCGGCCATCCCTACCTTCATAGGTGAATAAGCATTCGCGTGGAATTCTTTTTGCATGAGTTCGAGCTGAAGACCCCGAGCTCCACCAGCCTATGTGGATTCAAAATTGCAATAGATGGGGAGATCCAGGGAGAAAAGGAAAGAGCTGAGAAATTAAAAGTTAACAATAAGGCTAGGGTAACAGATTTATATGCTTTATCTGAACCCCTCCTTCCGCCTTCCCGTTGGGGATGGGTGGGATATGCGCAATTATGGAAGCAAACCATTTTGAGGACTATTCGCTAGATCCTGGAACCTTCGCCTTTCCCCTTTCCCTGTTTGGAATACGCTAAACAAAATCGTTCAATCTCTTACCTCTCTCTTCGGGGACGGAACCATAGGCTACTGACTGCATTAAGGACATTTGAGTGTTTAATATTTTTTCCAGGACACCGGAACGCTCTTCAAAAATAGCGATGAATTTCGGTAAACATACAACTGCAAAGGCATTTCTTCCGGGAAAAGACTCTTTGGTTACTCTATTAGAGCTGATGGAACAATGAATCAATCGCTCCACTATTACTACACTGGCAAGAGTCAAATGTAAAAAAAGGGAAAAGAACAGGTGAAAAAAGCGAAGGAATCCCGCTTTAAGTCTCCCTACTTTGGAAGAACAAAATGCACATTCTTATCCCTCCCGGGTGCCTGCAGCTGTGGTATGCGAAAATTCTAGAATAAACGACCACGTTCATAAACTGTCGTTGGAGCAAATGAAGCCCAACTCAGCATTTCCCAGGAAAGGGAACGATTGACCCCGGTTTTCAAAGCATTTTATAGTGAAGAAAAAATCTCCCAAAACCGATCCTGTAATCGACAGCCAAGAACATGATGTATACTTCACTGAACTGGAATTTGGCTTTGTCTGAGTTCATATCCAGGAAAAACGAATTGATGTGAATGTCACTCTCGAACCTCAATGGTGCCACTCAATGGTAGCAGAAGCCTCCGTCTCTGGCGGCCGGCATCGAACTTGTTCAGGCAGATGAGAACCCGGCTTTTGAGTCATGAGATCCTTAACAAGTAGGCTATTACGCTCGCAGAATTAAAGCGGTTTTTAGACGACGTCTTGTGGCGGAATTATCGCCTATGTAGATCAGTACTGGCTCGAAAAACTCTCGGTAGCCTTGCCCGAATACCCATGAACAGATTTACGGGAAGAGAGCACGAACAAGCAAAACTTACAAGTTCATATAGTGGGTAGTGACTGCAGCGAGATAAATAAGCTAGGAAACACCGTGCGTTAAAGGCGTAGAGGTAGAACTGAGAGTCACTCGGAGAGGAACCACAACCCTTCATCTTTGTGAATATTCCATTAGAATGACAGTGATAAATGGATAGAGACTGAATTACAGAAAAAATTACTGTTTTGAATGAACCAACTAAAAATTTTCGCATTTGATAAAAACTGTTTCGTATTGGACGGGAGAAGCATTTCGGGCAGATCTCATTGGCTGCTTTCATAGTCCGCCGGCCGGCGGACTATGAAAGCAGCCATTGAGGAAAAATAAGATTAATTGAAAGAGGAAAGGCGAACATGTATCATTTCTAAATCCACATATCGAAACCATCCGTTTTGTCTTTTCGAATAATGCTGTTGAGTTGGGACAAACCGGTAACTGTAGGTCGAGCTACTCATCATAGTTGTCGGTGCGCGGTGTACACATATACATGTTGATAGATATAAAGAAAACCATTGAAAGCAAATAAAAACTCAAACGTGTCGATAGTGAGACGATCCAGCAGCCAATTTCAGATCCCGTAAGTCAACTGGCTCCTCCGTTTTTGACTTTGTGAACTTTGAATCTTGGAAAACCGTGCAGATCGTTTACTGATGAGGGCACTCAAATGGTAGTGAGCGTTTATCTTTTTTGTTCGCCATGGGAACTGTGTGGAAGTTCTCCAGGGCCAACATTCGGTGTTGGTAGAAGTTAGGACTTGGCACTACGAAACGATCAACAATCGGCACGTGGATCCTTGGTAATTTCCTAATATTTCATTTTGTACTTCAAGTTCAGCCTAGATGTGTCATTTACTGTAATTATGTACTTTCTGTGACGCCGCGACCTTCGTTTGCCAAACATCACACGTTCCACAAATTCAAATATTAGTTGGCCTTAGTAGACAGGAATAATAACTCAATTCGTCTGGCCTCATGACAGATAGGAGGACTTGTGCATGGCGAGCTTAGTACTTCTCTTCTCTGCTCTTCGCTCACACGTCAGTTCGCTCTTAACACCGTAGGTGGCTTGAGGGCAACTAACATATTCATGACTAGTCCAGACAACCGAACATCGAGAGCTGAGATGTTATGTTCGAGAAGACCGATGCATAACCTCTGGTTCGTGATGCCCATAAAGAAGAGGAAAGGTAGAAAAAACAGCGAAGAAAATTACTCGACATGAAGTATGTTGCGAGATTTTAGATGGAAGAATGTACATGTAACGAATGTTATAACCAAAAATGAACCTGTCACAAAGTTAACGGATAAATAAAGGATCGGTATTGATTTTTTTGTGTGGCCGAACCCTCATGGTTGTGTATGCACTTCAATTCCATTTGTTTTTTTTATGAAAGTAGGAGTGTTATTTGACCTATGCAGGCGTCAAAGAATAAGTCCTTCTGGTGTTTATGGCGAATTGCTGTGTAACGTTCGAACTACAGGGTGCGCCATAATTATGGTAACACTTTTCGGACGTCCGTGATTTGCTTGTTTAGAGGGTTTTTCTGAAGCTGCGCCTCCCCTTATGTTTATGATATACCTTAGCCAACATATCTACTTTCGTGCTCACTCTGCTGGTGATTCATCAAATTTCGAAAAAAGTGTGGAGCCTCGCAGACATCCACCAACCGT